GATTTTGGAAGATCTTTATCTCATTTAGGCTTCTGAGGGATGAGGGGCTTTCGCTTCGGGCAGCTCTCTCCATCCATCCAAACAGGTAGGGTTGTTTTTAGGTGTCTCTGGGGAAACAGGCATCAAGCATTGCAGAAAGGGGAAGGATTTGGGAAGCCCATGAGTGGCTTTTCTGGCTTTTCTAGGGGGTTCTGCTGCAGGCTTCCTCTTCAGGTAGGTTGTTTTGGTTTGCTACCCTTGTCCATCCCCTATGAGCATCATTTCCTGGTTTAATTTGCAGCTCAGATCTCGAGTTAGGAGTTGCCAGGGTTATTGTTGCCATGTCAGTCATTGTAGATGGCTGATGGTYGTCTACATTTAGGAGGACGCTGGTCCTCCTAAACCAGTGTTGTTAGAGGGACCGCAATGGGGGCGATGATTGAGCTGCAGCTCTGTGTCCAGCCCAAGTGCATCTGACAGCCAAGGTAGCTGGACATCACTTGGGGTTGAACTGGAAGGATTTTTGAGTGAATTGCAGGTCAGCTGGGGCATAACATGAGATACATCATGACTGCAATGGAGATAAAGCCCTCGAGATGTCCCACAGCCTGCRTGGACATGCCAAAGACCTGCTGCTGCTGCTGGGCTTTGGGCAGGCCAGTGGCATTTGCTCTGCTTCTGTGCAACGCAGAAGGATGAAATTTTCCCCRTTTTGTCTATTCCTTCTCCTGAGCATCCAGAGACGGCGCCCACCTCGTCACGGAGCTCAGGGACTCCGCATGGACCATTCGGCCCTCCACTTCCCTATGGATGTGGCAATACCTAAGCCAGCACCACCGCTCCTTGGAGACCTGAAAAGCCCAGGAAGGAACCGCTGCACCTGTGATTTAGTAGCCAATTATCTCCTTTTTCTCAGCAAAGAGCCAGCTCTAATTTCAAAGGTCAGAATATGCTCTCACCTGGCTGTTCCAGGCCTTCCATGCAGTGCTCCAAAGCTATTACCTAAAATTAGCTTGCAGCTTGGGGAAAGCTGGTATTAGCTCCGTATTAGGACCCTTTCAAAGCTCTTGATCATTTACTTGATGGGCTCCTATTCAAGCTCTTGGGTTCCAGGTAGAAAATGGAAGACAAATAGCATCTGATACTGCTTCCTGCCTGCATAGAAAAATCGAGTGGGCTTTTTGGCACATTTCCTGTTTTTCTAGTTTGATATATATTTTTTCTCGACTATTTTAAAAGATTCCTAGTGAAGCTTTCCCAATGACCCTGGAGYGGGATGTATTTTTTCTTTATCCCAACTTCCTGAGGTTCCCAACGTGCTGGGGAGCACTGGGAAGGGGAGCACGTGATTCCAAAGCAAGCTGAATTCCAAGGCACATTCGGATCTGCTAGGCAACAGCGTTGACACATTTAAATAAATCTGCTCTTGAGTAATATGGAGTGACATATTGGGAGCAATTTAAAAAAAAAAAAAAGAAATCAAGCACAAATTGGGGAAATGACTGGAACGGAAAGAGAACATAGATATTACAGAAGACCTTGGGTAGAAGACAAGGRAGGGCTCCTCTACAAAAGGGGTGGAAGACAACGGTGAAAATGTAAATTTCTGCTGAAATTGTCCATTGGCAGTAGGGATTTGTACTTCCGTGGCAGTATTGGTGGTCACAAGGGTGGAAAGGCCTAGTGCTTCCACATTCAAGGAGGAGCGGAGCCTATGGCGGGACACCAGGCAGCTTGGGGAAGGTGAGAGGGTCTCTCTGTTCTCCTGCYTTTCTCACCACTGATCCTCTGGGTCTGGAGGGAGCTGGGTCAGAGTTGGTGGGAGCCTGTTGTCCCACTCCCAGCATCAGGATGTAAGGCTGAGCTGGAAGAGGAGGACCCAGGCCCAGTTAGGAACAAGTTTATTTCTTCTCAAGAAGCTTCTCCATGATGATGATTTATGAGTCTTTTGCACCAAAACAGCTGGGATTGAGCATTCAGAGGAAAGGGGTTGGACTAGATGGACCATTGGTTTGATTTGATTAGGCAATCTTAGGCTTTTATATAATTTTTGTTGGATCCTACAGATGGTGTGGCAATTTTTCTGGCTGTCTCAATGCCTCTTGTTGAGGCTGATGCCTTCGTGTCTGGCCATGTGGCACCTTCATGGTGCTTGGGCCTTTTTTTGGAGTTGCTGCCTGTGTCATGGAGCCCCTCAAAGCTTGTGTTTGCAGAGAGATTTCCCAGGCTTTGGGAATGTCTCTTTATTTTTTGTCTGGGTATCAGGTATTCAGTTTGGATGTGAGCAGCCCTGATGTTGGCCAGCAGATGCAACAGTCAACTCCAACTCTAGCCAACCAGTTACACTATTAAGCAGCAGCGGTGCTTTGATCACGCCTTGCTCCCATAAAGCAGGGATAACTGTTGGAATCAACCCAGAGGGACATTCCTCGCTCATCCTTGTTCATTAGGATCTCTCAGCATCCAGCACACGAATGATTCCCAAGACTGGGATGAATCGGAAATGATCTTTGGACAACAGACAATGGCCAGAACGTTGGCAGCTTCTGTTGGAAGCAGCTGCTRCTGGCAGAGTGTCCCCTGTTCCTGAGATGCTCCAAGGACACTTGGCCCCACTTATGCCACCAAAATAGCTGGTGTGTGGGGGAGATTTCTCCCTGGAGTATTTTTAAGCCAAGAAATCCCAGCCAAAATAGGTTCAACCTTCCCAAATATTGTTCTGTGCTCCTGCTGGGATTCTGCTCCCATCTGTTCTGGGCTGGCAGGTGGGATGTGCTCATTCCAGGCTGCTTGGGCAGTCTCTCCATGCAGAGCACATTCATGATACATGTGGTGGAGTCTCCGTTTTCCTTTCCCTCTAGCCCACAGAAGGACATTGGCCACCCCGAAGCCACAGGATATTTGACCAGCCTGCGTGTCTGACACCAGTCAATAAGGATGTCTCTAACAAAGCACTGTTGTTGAGCGTTGCGTGTTGTTGGATACTGGCCAAGTGTTCTGGTAAAACAGGACATTGGGTCTGGGCCTCTCTATTAGTCTTCTGGTGGCTTTTGAACCTAATTCACTCACATTAGGAGTTCACCAGAGCATTAACCCCTGCCTCCAGTATCCAGAAAACAGGAAAGTGATGCTGTAACCACCCCAGCAGGCCATAAGGGACCCCCTTGGAAGCTTGAAGGCATCAAACAGTAAGAATTGAGGCTTCACTTGTGCTGTTGCTCCCAGAAATACTACTCTGAGGCAACAAAGCCCATTTTCCTCCATATGAGGACAACGCTGGTGGGAACCATGGCAAGTGTCGTCCTCAGCGTGTTCGTCTGCTGAGATGAAGATGAAGGCTCTCTTGGTGGGTCTCAACCGACCTGGGATGAATTAGCTCAGACTCCAAGGCAGGAGGGACAAGGAGAAGCTGGATAACCGATGGCCCTTGGTGGCAGAAGGATGGGAGAACCTGAAGGAGGGACGGAGAAGGTGGCACGAAAAGGCAAGGCAGAGGATCTCAGCAGCTGCCTTTCGGGTGGCTGCTACTGGATCCTGCAGCTGCTCATCAGAAATTCTGTTTATGCCACGGGGAGCTGGGGAGTCTCTGAAGCTGACACGCTTTTAATAGACAAAGACATTTTGAGTGCAGCCCATCTGCTCGGGGATGCTGAGGAGCAGCCTCCCTGCTGCAGGGCCACTGGCTGAAGGATTTTTCTGGGCTTTTTTCTTTTTAATTTGAAACCCTTCCTTTCTTTTAGCTAAGAAGCCTCCCTAGTTTTGGAGGTCAGAAGTGCTGTGCTGGCTTGTGAAGTTTGCAACCATTAAGCAAACCTGCCCAGCTGGCCATAATGTCCCTGCATTACCTGCAAGGTTTGGCAGAATCACCTTTGATTTTGCAGCATCCCGAGGCAGGAACCCCTTGCAAGGGCACAAGATTGATAGGGAATATATTGCACAGCACTAGGGAATGGAAAAAGTGCGAATCTGGGATCAGACATAGGCTCCCTGGAACATGGTGGGGCTGGAGCCCCAGACGTGAGCTGAACTAGTGATAAAATAAGAGAGAAATTGTGTGTATTAAAATTTTATCCAASTGGAGAATCATTCTGTTAAGTTTCTTCTCTTTCTATTAAGTTTCAAGTGTTGAGAAACATGTGAACATGTGAGGAAGGAGAAGGAGAACCTGAGCATTGGCCTCGTGCTTAACTAGTGCTCAGCCTAAATCAACTCAGTCTGACCAGCTTAGCTTTTATAGCCTCCTGTACTCTTGTTTGGTGGTTGAGTCTGGTTTGTGTGGGTGAAAAGTTAATTCCTTCCTTGCTTGGGCTTAATGGCCTAATTAGTCTTTCACGCTCATGCAGTAATGGATTGAGCCCATTTTTATGGATAAAGGTGGGACAGCTTTAAACAAACCCAGATATTGGAGGTGTGTGTACGGCCACAGCGTCGTGTGCCTGGAAGTGCAGCAGAAATTCATTTAATTGGGACCATGCGACTTGAGAGTGTGGAAATAAGACAGCARTGGGACTTGTAGGTCTCTGTTTCCCTCTGGTCTGGATAAATGGAGTTCCGGCACAATTCTGCTCGCGTGCTTGGATTTCCAGCCGTTTGCAATGGACTTTGCAATCCCAGCTTTGGAATGAGCTGTGTCTACTGAAGATGCTCCTGCCCTATGAGTGCGATTACAGCCAGCTGGTAACGCGGTGCCTGGGCCCGATGCGTGGAGCTGCCTCCACTCAGGTGCTGAGGAAGGTCCTCCAAAAAGTGTAGAGGGCCACTAGGCTGCAAAGGAGGCCGTGGGGTGCTGGTTTCGAGTCCCAGGCAGCACCTAGCGCCTAGTTTTCCTCCAGACACATCCATTAATTCCAATGATGTAAAAGCAAAGGGAACCCTCCTCTCCTCCCACACTGAATTTATCCCCTCCAGCCACGAGCAAATGCTCCTCAATGAGCTCGTCCTCATCTGCCTCTTTATTTAGCCTCAACGTAAAGGTTTACACTCTGATAAAAATGGTGATTTTTATGTGATTTTACTTKCAGTGCTGGGGAAAAAGAGACGTGGCAATAGGAACTGGCCACCCAAGACGGGACAGATAGAGCAGAGGAGCCACTGAGGCCCTTCCCGACAGCCTTGGCCACCGATCCGGAGGGAGAGCCTGYGGGACACAGGTGGGTGTTGACAGCCCAACAACTAACACAGCGCCCTCCTCCCACGCTGATTTGGGGAACTGTGGAAATCAGCAGCCTTTCACCCTGGGGCTGCTTATTGCCCTAAATACTACACTGCTAAACCTGCAGTTTGGGGTTGGTTTGGGTTTTTTTAAGTTCTACCAACGTGTTACAAGAACAGGTTCTATGTAGTTGGTGAAGGGTAAAGTCCCAGCAAGGAAGAAGAGCCTGGAAGGGTGTCTAAAGTGCTTTCTTTATCACCAGCACATATATCATCCTGGCAGTTGATGCTTTTAAGTGATCCCAAGCTGTGCCCGGAGCATTTCCAACCCCTCCGCAGCCTCCGCAGGCCTCTCCTGTGTGGTCGCTTCCGAGCCTCCCATTTCGGAGCCTACGGAGTTTTCTGAATTCCTGGCACGTGTTTTCAAGTAAGGAGGATCGAGTTTGTCCTGCGTCAACTGAAGYTGGAAGGAGCAGAGGAGCCCTGGAAGGATCAGGTGCTGGAGCAGCTGCAAAGGATGGTGTGCAGGGGAGAGTTCAGATTTAGCCTTTCAAGACCCCCCATTGCCATTTTAGGGAGGCCAATTTTCAAATTCAGATTTCAAAAGAGCCTTTTCAGAGCTCTTTTGCACTTGCAGTTGGGGAAGGCAGCTAAAAGGAACAAGATTTAGATACAGGTYAAGCAGTTCTCAGGCTCCTGCAAAACAGCCCATTTTTGATCCCTCATTACCGTGTTGGCTCCGCACCTTGCAGTGCTTGGCCACGTGTGCCCCAGGGTACCCCCAAAGAGCCAGTTTTCCTCTGCCTGCCTTGAAATTAAGGTAAATAAATTCAAATACAGTGTTTGTGTGTGCTTTGCTTGGGCATTTCCCCTGGGAAAAGTGTTAACAGATAAACTTGTCTCCTCGCCAGCTGTTTGCAGAAACCTGGGGGGGCAACTCTGGGCCCTTTGCAGCCCCAAATAGACTGAGTCGAAATCYCAAGGACTGACCCATTGCCAGGCACCTCCCCAGTTACGGGCCAGCTGGGGGGAGATTTAATATCCCCATTTAATCAGGGGACATTAATTTGCCATCACCAAAAGGCCCTGTAGTGAAATAGGAATAGGCTGTGYTATCAGTGTTGGTTCCCCTTTAATTATATTTTCCCTGGTTAAAATTAAACCTTCGGTTTGTTTTCTGAAGCACACGTGTATCCTACACTGAAAATCCGTATCCTACACTGAAAATTATCTTAAAAAGCATTAAAGAGGGAATCACCATCACGTCACACTTCTTATGATGTTGTGTAAGAGCTGACCATAAACCCAGCTGAGCAGATAGCCCAAAACCTCATGTACCTCTAAAGTGATGAGTAAAAGGCAGGGAGACCRACGTATCCATCTGGCCTAGGTCCAAATCTCTGCTCTGCTGGTGTAGCCTGAAGAATCGGAGCTAAATTGGCCGTGTCCTTGGTTTTTATGCCCAGCTATCTATTAGCTCAGTGTATTTTGCAAAGGGGCAGAGCTATGCAGGTGGCTGCTGCACATTGCAGTACTGCATAGCTGCTAATTCCAGTATCCTGATTTAGATGAGCTCCCTTTCTCCATTTTATTCCAGAAAAAAACACCTTGTGCATGCAGGGAGCCTGCTGAGTGCAGCCGCCAACCGCAGGCGTCTCCCCTTGCAATGTTTTATTGCAACGAATCCAGATTTTCCAGCAGGAACCAAMAGCAAAACCCTTCATGTAAAAAGCCCTCAGCGGAACAACCGCAGTCGTGCGCAGGAATCAGCAGCTCGCTGTGTCCCAGGGTCACAACACACCATGGAAAGGCACAGCCGCTTCCCTACCCGTGTCCCCGTTGCCGTTTGGGGCAGGGGGACGTGGGGACTTGCACGTGTCGAGCAGCTTGCCCGAAGTTTTGCAGAGAGGCAGGAATAGGCAAGCGGATGCAGGGGCTGTGATTTCCTGGTCTCGTGGGTGGGAAGCAGGAGGGCCTGGGGGAGGTCGGGTGGCCCTGTCCGATGAATCCCAGCTCATCCTTGGCTTTTCCCCTGCAAACCTGGGAGGTGTTGGACGTCTTCCAGCGTTCCTCTCTGCTAAAAGCCACAGTTGCTTTCAAAAACGAGCGTCCTGAGGTTGCTCTGGGGGCTTTTCTTTCTTTTCTGCACTGTCTGAGCCCAGGATTCTTCTCTCGTAGGAATGGCAGAGCCTCGGCAGCGCAGCAGCGATGCAGGAGACTGACGTTGGCCCGCAGCGCTCCTGGCTCGTTTCCCACCATGGATGTGGCCTCGGCGCGTGGTGAAGTGGGATGCCCGGAGCAGCAGTGGAGCTTCCCCTGATCCCGTGGGGTTTGCGCTAGACCTTACCCCACCATGACACCGCTGTGACGCTGCTCGCGACGGCTGCGCTGGGCGTGCTGAGAAGCTCCATGATTGAGGCAAAGCGGATCGGGAGCCGCAGTGGCGACACGGAGCCTGTGGCGAAGCCGGCGCCGGGACAAGAAGATGAAATTTCCATTCTACCGGCTTCTCCATAAGCAGGCCCAGTGACATTTCCTTGCAGAGACTCGCTCTAAGGACTCTTCTGGTTATGGCTGCTGATCCGACGTGATCGGGCACGCGCTGACTCTCGAACTCATGACTGGCTATACGATGTTGCGGAATGGGGGAGTGGGGAACGGAGGCCAGCCGTGGGTGTTGAGGTGGTCCAGCCGGATCCGGCTCACTTGGCTGAGTTTCACCCTCTTCGTTATCCTCGTCTTCTTTCCCCTCATCGCCCACTACTACCTGACCACCATCGACGACGCGGACGACGCCGGCAAGCGCATCTTCGGCCCCCGCACGGGCAACGAGCTGTGCGAGGTGAAGCACGTGCAGGACCTGTGCCGCATCCGCGAGTCGGTCAGCGAGGAGCTGCTCCAGCTGGAGGCCAAGCGGCAGGAGCTCAACAGCGAGATCGCCAAGCTCAACTTGAAGATCGAGGCCTGCAAGAAGAGCATCGAGAATGCCAAGCAGGACCTGCTGCAGCTGAAGAACGTCATCAGCCAGACGGAGCATTCCTACAAAGAACTCATGGCCCAGAACCAGCCCAAGCTCTCCCTGCCAATCCGGCTCCTGCCAGACAAGGACGAGGCGGCCTTTCCCTTGCCCAAATCCAACCGGAATTGCAGGCTGCACAACTGCTTTGACTACTCGCGATGCCCGTTGACGTCCGGCTTTCCGGTCTACGTCTACAACAGTGACGATTACCCTTTTGGTAGTTCCCTAGACCCCTTAATTAAGCAAGCCTTTGAGGCCACTGTCAGAACTAACATTTATGTTACTGAAAATGCAAATATTGCTTGTGTGTATATAATTTTAGTGGGGGAAATGCAAGAGCCCGTAATGCCAAAACCTACTGAACTCGAGCAACAGTTGCACTCTCTGCCGTATTGGAGGACTGATGGGCACAACCATCTCATCATCAATTTATCCCGGAAATCGGAAACTCAGAATTTCATTTACAACGTCAGCACGGGGCGTGCCATGATTGCTCAGTCCACCTTTTACGATGTGCAGTATCGGCCAGGGTTCGACATAGTGGTGTCACCTCTGGTCCACGCTATGTCGGAACCCAACTTCCTAGAGATCCCGCCCCAGGTGCCGGTCAAGCGTAARTATCTGTTCAGCTTCCAGGGAGAGAAGATAGAGTCTCTCCGGTCTAGCTTGCAAGAGGTTCGCTCCTTTGAAGAGGAGATAGAAGGCAACGCGCCGGCTGACTACGACGATCGCATCATCACCACCTTGAAGGCTGTTCAGGACAGCAAGTTGGACTTTGTGTTGGTGGAGTTCACGTGTAAGAACCAGCCGAAGGCGAGTCTGCCCACTGAGTGGGCTCTGTGTGGAGAAAGGGATGACAGACTAGAGCTACTGAAGCTTTCTACTTTTGCACTGATAATCACCCCAGGGGACACCCGTCTGGTGATCTCCGCCGGGTGCGCCATGAGACTCTTTGAGGCTCTGGAGGTGGGAGCCATCCCGGTGGTTCTCGGAGAGCAAGTCCAGCTACCCTACAACGACGTGATCCGGTGGAACGAGGCAGCCTTAATCATACCAAAGCCACGTATCACAGAAGTGCACTTCCTTCTGAGAAGCATTTCTGACAACGATCTCCTTGCCATGAGGAGGCAAGGCCGCTTCTTGTGGGAGACCTACTTCTCCACCTCGGACAACGTTTTCAGCACAGTCTTAGCCATCATAAGGACTCGAATCCAAATCCCGGCCGCTCCTATCCGAGAAGAAGCGGCCGTGGAGATTCCGCACCGGTCCGGCAAAGCTGCTGGCACCGACCCCAACATGGCAGACAACGGCGACCTGGACCTGGGGCCTGTGGAAACGGAACCGCCCTACGCATCTCCCAAATATCTCCGCAACTTCACCCTCACGGCGATGGACATCTACAGGAATTGGAATTCGGCTCCGGGGCCTTTCCACCTCTTCCCCTATACTCCCTTCGATCCCGTGTTACCGTCGGAAGCCAAATTTTTGGGGTCTGGGACCGGATTTCGACCGATTGGCGGCGGAGCAGGTGGTTCCGGGAAGGAGTTCCAGGCTGCTTTGGGGGGCAACGTCCCCCGGGAACAGTTCACGGTTGTGATGTTGACTTACGAGCGGGAGGAGGTGCTGATGAACTCCCTGGAGAGGCTCAACGGTCTCCCCTACTTAAATAAAGTGGTGGTAGTGTGGAACTCGCCCAAGCTGCCCTCTGAGGATCTCTTATGGCCAGACATTGGCGTCCCAATCATGGTAAGAAAGACAGGGGGCTCTCGCCCGCCTTGTGCAGCGGGGTCTGGGCATCAGAGTTGGCCCTGACTGCTCTGAGCTTCTCACCACGGTGTGGACACCTAGCACACCATCCGTCCCGCTCGTCTGTAGGTGTCCATACCTGGTCCCAGTGCTACCAGTGGGGAGAAACAGGTGAAAGGTGTCACTCATCCGAGCCCTTGGAGATGTTTGCAGGAGAACCAGCCTCAATTAGGTTCTGAAAAAGCCACTTTCTCTGCCCTGCCTTTCAAGGGAGCCTCGTGGCTGGTGCAGAGGCAGTTGGCATTGCTGAGCTGTGAGGAGAGGAATTGCTGGCATGCCCAAATTCACTCTGTGGTCTCGGCATTAGGGAATGCTGGGGAGAGTCTCAGTAGCCCRTAAGAGCTGTTGCAATGCAGGAACTTCCCAGGCGCCGGGTGTTCGGCACCCCTGGAAAAATAATGAGATACTTGGAGCTTGTCATGAATCCTGGGGCTGAAAACCAGCGACTCTCCTGCATTGATTGGGGCCTTTGGTTGGGCTCTGTTCAGTGTCGTGCTGTAGGGATGGTTTACACCTTATAAATGCCTAAGAAGTGGCAGTTGCTGCTCATTAGCTGGTGAATCTTTAATAAAAACAAAAGGGGGATGTGCTGAAGCTGCAGGGGGCCCCGAGAAAGCTGAGGAGAGAGGGGATGCTGCTTTTAAGGAGCTAATTCTTCCATCTTGGTGGGTCATGTTTTTCTGCCACTACTTTTCTTCCTTCCTCTCCTTTCCCCTCTCCTTTCCCCTCTCCTTTCCCCTSTCTTTTCCTTCCTTCCCAAGCTCAGGACTTCTCTCATCTCAGCCTAACAGTGACCTGGCCATTGCTGATGTTCTCTATTAAATATAAACGCGCTCATAAAGGGCACAAACGCGCAGCCACTAACGAGGAGCAGCGTGGTGGTGCCTGCTGCCCGCGTAGAGGACAAGCGGAAGGGTAAAGCTTTGCAAATCAGGAGAGAAAGAAAAGCAGGAGATGGTTTTTCAGCAGGCAAACTGYGTGTGGTTTATGTGACAGGACGCCACGGGGCTTAATAGCAGCGCCAGCTTTATGCGACGTGCAAAGAGCCTCATTGATTTAATATTTCCTTTTAGTGTTATTGTGATGAAGAAATCCTTCTGCTCGCATTTAAAACCCCTTGCGGCCCGGGGACAATGAGGAGAGAAAATTGCTTGGATAATTGCAGAATAATCTTTCACATTAGTCCTGTTGGATGCTTGAATTTGGTAAAATCTTTGCCTTGCATCTGCTAGAATGGAACCCCCTGGTCTCCGTCAGAGCCRAGGAGTGGGAATCGTTCTCTTTGGTGCTGGTGGTGGGTGTAATTTCCTAAAGAAAAGTGTGTTTCTGTTGATGGGCACTGGACATCAATCCCTTTTCTCCTGAAATTTGTCGCTTGTTATTCGGGGATCGGAATCCATCCRAGAGGCTGTGCCAGGTGCCTTGTTCTGCTCCCGGGGATGGATTTTCCTCCCATTTCCCTAAATCCCAGTACTCCGTTCTCAACCCCTGGCCGCTGGTCGTGATTTGGGCTTGCGATTCAGGTTTCTTTTCCCAGATGGGGTGTGAGCTGATGAAGAGCAGGGCTCRGAGCTGATGAAGAGCAGGRCTCGGAGCTGCGTGGAGTCTTGGAATCTCTCCTCCATGATGAGATAAATGGGGCGCCCGGTGGGACACGTTTTATTTTTAAATCTTTTTCTTGGCTGTGTTTTTCTCACCTGCAGTCGTCGCTAGGAAATCAGTAAGAGCCCCTCGTTGTGCATGGGCTTACGGTGATGTATAGGTGACAAAGTACAGCATTGTTTAATGTATAGCTGTGGGATTGCCTTCTCATTCAGTGCGCCTTCGTGGTGGAGCCGCAACGGGACCTGCTGCGAAATTTCTCTCCTCTCCTTGTGTCCTGGGAGGAAAAAAGGGCTCTAAGGTAGAAGCCCTATTTGTGCAGGGTTTAAAATTCCCTTTCTTTGTATCCGTAAGTCTTTGCATCCGTAGCGACATCTCGGCCATCGTTTGACTTCCGAAGGCTCCTCCGGATGCAGCRTTTGCACGATGTGGACATCCCGATTTGAGTCCTCCTGCTCTTTCCCTGCTTGAGGAAAGGGAGTTTTGGCTTCGATCTCTGCTCTGAGCAGGTGGGACGATGCGCTCGGGTTGGAGGGACTTGGCTGCGGCGCCCGTGCATCCWTCTGCATCTGCATCTTGGAAAGGATTCCAGCAGCGGAGTGAAGAGGAGTCWTTAGGGAGAAGACCTGGCTCCGGTGTTGGCGAGAGGCTTCCAACAGCCCCTTGCAGCATCGTCGTGTCCAGGAGCTCCAGACAACCTCTTGGTGATGACAGGAGCACCTCATTCCCTGCTCTGCACTTCCCTGGCACCGTTTTCTTCCATGTGAACACAAGTTAAGGAGCCAGCTTTGACCTCTGCAGCCTCTTCCAGGCTGCAGTGTCCTTTGCTGCTGCTTTGGTGGCTTATTTGAAGCAGGCACTTGGTTAGAAAGGTGCAATCTTTGGCCAGCCCTGCGTCCATGGACCTGTTGGGCTGGCTCGTGCCTTGAAATGTCACTTGTTGGCCGGGGAAGGACTGTGGGTTGTAGCTCTACAAGGGTTATATCTTTTTTTTTCCATAGACACCAAAATCCCTCGGTTTAGGGGGCAGCTGATGGGGTTGGAGAGCAGGAGGAAGAAGGCGCCTCGGGCAGTGGAAATGCTGAGCAAGGGAAGGAAAGAATGAGGTTTTTCCACCATGGGACAACTTGAAAAGGCCTCGAGAGGCGTAGGGGCACAGTGCCCCTATATGGGAGCCCTCATCCCTGCAGCCCGGGGCCATCCGTGTGTTTTTAAGCACCACAGAGCACAGGTTGTCACAACGGGTAGAGGACAAAGGAGGACAAAGGATCTGACAGCAGAGTCAGCGCAGCAGGGAATTCCGCCTTTTTTCCCTGCTTCGCTGCCAGGTGCAGCCTTCTTCCAAGGAAGTCCTGGAGCTGGGATCACAGAGTGGGTTGAGGTTGGCAAGGCCCTCTGGAGATGATCTAGTTCCAACCCCTTGGCTCGAATTGGATCTCTTAGAGCGCCAGGACCATGTCCAGGCAGCTCTTCTGTCCCTCCAAGGATGGAGATTCTCCCGGAATTGCTGTAACTTGATGTGATACCCCAAGAAATGGTTGCACTCCAAGATACAGGAAGTGGGAAGCTCTTGTCTCCAAGGYTGTGAGTTTGGCTTTGCCTCTTTGGTATTAATTAGGTAGGTCCAAACAAAACATCCATCTTGTTCCCATCCCATGGAGAAGGAGCAACCTTCTGGAGCACTGGGACATCAAGGAGGCAGCTGAGAAGGACTCAGGAAGGTTATAAAGACAGAAGTAACTCTTGAAGGCAAGGTTGAAGGAAGAGGTGAGGAACCAGAGAGAGATTTTAGTCACTCTTGTTTGCTGCAGTGTCCAGAGTAGCTCACAGAGCTCGCTGGGATCGATCAGCAAAGAYGTTGCTTCGATAACAACCCTCAGAGAAGGAGGTTGCTCATTCCCAAGGCAGGTGAGCAGTGCATGAGCAATGAGGCCACCAATACAATGTCCTTGGTGTCACAGGGCACTCGTTTTAGTGTGGTAGAAACCTGCCCCAGTCTGTGAAGTCATGGACAGCCCTGGCTTTGGGTGSGGAAGAAGAGAGCAAATGGGGAGCAGGCAAAACACTTTCCTGGGAGTGCAGCAGCTCCAAGGTAGATAATTCCCTGCAATAATGTTGGTTTTCTTCTTCACGAATGCAGATGAAAAAATCTACTGAAAAAACCTATTGAAAAAACCAGCCTGTACTGAAAAAAATACGTGTTTTTTTTCAGAGTTTTAAAACGCAGGCTCGGCGCGGTTCTTAATTCCCTGCCCCTCCTGTGGCTTTGGGCAGTGGTTATAGCAACAGGCATCCCAACCACGTATGTTGTGCTAACAGCCTCCTGCTTGGAGCCTTTGTTGTGCTCCTGGTTTTCAGTTTTCTGAGCTGAGCAGCAAGAGGAGTTTAAATGGCTAAGCCGAGTCTCCAGGTAGGAGAAGGCTCCAGGCAACGAAGCTCTGGAGCGTGTGGGCTCGCCCACCACGAAGCCACGGGGCTGCATGTTTGGTCTGAGTGCAGTTCCCCTTTGGTTGACCAAGTGCAAGGTAATATCCTGCCTCTCCTGGCATTTGGGCTAATGGGAATTGCTCTTCTCCATGAGCTGCACCCAGAGAGAAGCGAATGAGGAGATGCTGGTTAAGGAGTTGTGTGGATTTGCTGTTTCTTCTCCTGTTTCATGAACATGCAGCTAATGGATTTGAGGAGTGACTTGCAAAATGAGCTACCTGCAAGCTTGATGGACTCTTGGATTTGTTTATGAACAGCCTTAACTAACTGCTTGGTACCTTGTTCATAGTCTGTATTCCCTGACCTTGTTGATGAAGATACAACGTTCATCTTGAAGCCTTCTGCAACAAATGTGGATCTCACAGGATCCCAGAATGGCTGMGGTTGGAAGGGACSCSCAGGGCTCCCCCAGCGCAGCCCCTGCTCCAGCAGGGACACCCAGAGCACGGGGCACCCGGGCGCATCCCGGCGCGCTGGCAGATCTGCAGAGCAGGAGCCT